ACTATATCGCTGCAGCCATCAGGATTACAAATAACCCTCAGAAATAAAGTTCCCTTCAGCTTTGATCATTTCAGTGATAGGGTTCAACCAGCTGCCTGGCACACAGCCACAGAGGCAGAGCGGGGAAGCAGGGATGGGAATGAAAGGTTGATTGTAGGGTGAAGGAGGAAAGCGATGGGTTGAGGCTGAGAACCACTTAGGGTATCAGCACCCTGAGGAGAACACCAGCGGGTCAGAAAGGAGCTTTCTCTGTAGCAAGGAAGCAGCCAGTGTACAACAGGCAGTGTTTTCCCCTGTGGTACATAATAACACGGCATTTTGTGAGCTTTGTCCACAGCTGCTGTGTAGAAAATGCAGGAACATTTTGCAAAGTTTTTAATGTTGTGGTGTCAAAGTGTTCTCCAGTTCTGCATGCCTGGTTAAAAGGGACAAGAACAGGTTAGGAGCCCATTGAGCAAGGGGAAAAGGAAGGCAAGGGAAGGAAAATTCTCAAGTATTTGCCTCTATGGGCCATGAGGAACTGAAGGGGGCAACACCCTGCAGACACACACAGGCTGGCAGCACAGTGAGGACCCATCAGACACTCTGTTTCTGCAGCTGATGCGAAGACCCAAGAAGGCCCCTTGAAAGAAGGGTGCTGGGGGGAGAAGGAAGAATTTCTAGCAGAAACTCTGCAGAACAGTGAATCTCTCCATATTCAAGCTTGGCTAAGGGCTGTGGTGGAGAGTAGGAATGCCTGAGACTGATAGGACAAAAGGAGAAAAATAATGCCTTAGCCTTCTGCCTAGCACAGACCGCATGGACATTTGAGCTGCCGATGAATCAACATGAATCAGCCCTATTATACCCCAGACCATAACCATGATGTAAACCGAGGTGATGCAGCAGCTGACTCAGAGGCACCTTTTACGTCCAGGGTGAGGCACAGAGCTGGGGACAGCAAGCTGTCAGACATCCCCAAATAAACTCATAAACCCTGGGCAACAGGCCCAAGGGATTTTGCCCTCTCTAGTTCAAATAACCAATACGTATCATGCCAGCTGTGCAAAGGCTCATTGGCTTCCTTTAACTTCAAGACTGATTTGTCTCGCCAGTGAAGTCATTGGGAAAAAGTAAAGGTGCTGTGACTACAGCTTGTCTCACCACACTCAAAGGAGACAGGGGCTGGTCATTACACAGGATCTTCTCTGAGGACAAGTCAAAGGGTAGGCAGGGAAATGTGTAAAGACTTGTGTCACCAGCAAGAGCTGCTTGACAAGACGTAAACAGAAATCTAAGAGACCATGCAGTAGACTATGCTGAGCCTTTAAAAAGCAGCTCTGAGCCAGGGTTGCTGTGTCAACCTCACCATGGACATAATAAAGAACACATTATATTTCAGTGGCATCAGTCTCCCAGTCCGGTCTCTCACCTGGTGATATGAACAGCTGTGTTGGCATGGAGAAAAGGGCCATCTGGCTTGAGATCTTGGCTGGGATCAGGTCTGCCCCCAGGGAATTCCCCTTGAGACTACGTCCCTGAGCTACCTAAGAAGTCTTGACCCTCCACTATACTTCTCTGAAGTACAGTTTCTGTAAAATATCCCTCACTTGCTGCAGATAACTTGCTGTCGGCTCGTAAGGAATGCACTTACGTGCCTCTCCCTGTGTCAATATGCAATGCTTGCAGGCATGCAAGAAATGCAGGCAGAGCTGTCACAAGAATATTTGGCAGCATCCCTCTCCCAGACCATCCTACTGTGGTGCTTCTCTTCCTACCTTCCACACTCCTACTTGTCGCCACCAGGGACCTGCAGGCCCAGCTGTGGCCCCCTGCCACAGCTACTGGCATGCCCTTACATCTCACCCTGGTGTGTAAGGGCATGCCAGTAATAATTGAGGTTGGAAGGGACCTCTGGAGATCACCTAATACAATCCCCTGGTCAAAGCAAGTCCATCACCAATACTGTATCAGGTCACTCGATCAGGTTTGCCCGTGCACTCTGAGCCCCTTCCTGGGACTGAGGCTTTGGCAGCCATGACACTTTTGCCAGCTGAAGCCATTCCTACTTCACCTCCAATCCTGGTGCTCACAGTGCCCTCCCAGCACAAACATTTATGTAGTCTCCTAAGGAAGTGATTCAGCTGAAATATAATCTGTGCTTCCAATATAATAATCTTTCTTTTAGCTGGAATGGTTCCCCAGTCCAACTTATTCTGCAGTCCTACTCACAAATGTGCTAGCATGGTTGAGGGAGATCCAGACAATGACAAGCAGCCAAGAGGAGGAAGGGAAAGGAGGGGGAAAGAGCAAGGAAAATGCCTGCTTGAGCCAGAGCTGCTGATTAATGAGTTCTGTGCCAAGCCCAACCCTCAGAGAAGCAAGATTCAATTCCTGTTCAAGCCCCTTTACAACTACAGTTTCCTCTTCTGTACACGGGGGAGGCAGCTGACCACAGCTGTTTGCAGATGAAAGATGAAAGGCATGACAGATAGTGCTTATTGATTATTTTCGTACCCACTGAACTTATTGGGAAAACTCTACCAAATGTATAGGAACCAGGTGAATCTGTACAACTGTTTTAGAAAGAAGAAGGAAGCATAAAGTTGGCCTGAACAGAAGAAATAAAATTTTCCAACTGAAATAGCCAGACTGGCTGAGCTACAGAACCTGGGGTGTCTCCACCCAACATTTTGTGGAAAGGCACTTGCTTCAGAATTGGATCAAGCCTGAACAAAGCTGGAATGAACTCATCTACCTTGGCTCCAGCTTTCCTATTTTCACAGTACTTCCATATTTGTCAAAAGGATTCAAAATGTTATTCAAAATAACTGACAAGGAGAGCAACCACTAATCAAAACAATCTAAGTAAATTCCAGAGTAGTATTAGATTGCTACTGATGTGCTGAAAATCCAGGCAATTGATCCTCGTTAGCGCTCCTGCCAACACGCAAAAAGGACCTGATTCATCCCAGTTAGCAGTAGGTATTTAATGCAGACATCTGAGTTGGAAGTCAGATGCCGCTAGTCTTCCTGTGTAGTCCATGAAGAGCAACAAGCACCCCCTGAAGATAATTCATCCCGACATTTAACTTACCATTTCTGTACAAGCCCATCAGAGATCAAGACTGCCCTGCAAGCGCTACTCAAACCTTCACGCTCATCGCCGACCAGTGAAAGGCTAGATGCACTGCCCTGTCACTCTTGAGTCCAATCTCAGTCTCTCATTTCTACTGGCCGGAGTTCAAAATGCAATTTGAAAGCCAAATACAAATCGAATTAAAACTTGAGTTGCTTACTAAAATCAACCCAATACTGCAGCTTGAGTTTATTTTTAAAACTACACGATTGACACTGATCTGCCCACATTTAAGGGTTATACTCCTAACCAGAGTATAATATTCCCATAGAGATTCAGCAGAAGCTGAGGTCTCCAACTAGTCCTGACTTAAGCATTAAATGTATCCCTATAAAGACTTCCAGTCCTACCAAATGTGGAAGTAGGAATAAGCTCCTGGCTCCTAGCTGTCAAAACTCCTAATTCATTTCAGCACATGTACGACAGAAGTAGTACAGAAAAGCTGCTTTAATAGCAAGGAGTGGCTTTAACTAGAACCCTGTACGAAACCTTTAGCCTCTGCCTACAGCTATATCACTGACTACAAGTTCAAACTGAAGGGTGACTAGGAGAGCCACAGCCCACACATCAAAGATATCTAAGTACTTAATAGACACAATACACATGTTTTATATGGACTGACATAAACCAAACCCTGTACTGACAGTATTTCTTACAGTTACTCTCAAGAGCACAGTTGAGTTAATTTTAAATAGAATGCAGTATTTAAAATTAGTATGTTCCCTTCCTAAAGTATTAAGAGTAACTTAATTTTCTAGGATTGATTCTATGGACAAGACCTGTATAATTAAGAAAAGGGAAAACGTCCTAATTCTACTTCTCTGCTAAATCCCATCCCACAAATTACTGCCTTATTCAGAAAGCCAAACTCACCCTGCTAATTATAAATTCTTCACCCCCAGTTAGGTAATGGAAATAATAACAAATGACTTAAGTAACTAATCACAGCTAAATAGCGCAGCTTGTATTGTGGATACCAAGTATTCCATACTGCAAACACACTCACGGAATATGGCAAGGGAAGTGCAGTCTGTTTGCACAAGCTCCACAAGTGGAAGAGCTTACGTTTACTGAGCGAAATGCAGACAATAAAAAAAAAAATTTGGGATTAATATGAAATGCAATTAATATATCATCATTCAGAAGCTTTTACTTTCAGTGCATTGCTTTATTGTCAAGATGCTATATGAACTGTTTTCTGTCTTTTTACCATGCTACTAAAAGATTTTACAAGTGGGTAGTTAAAGAGATCTCAGCAAGATCTGCAAATAGAATATTTCTGTCTGATTTACTCTAAATGCATGCGAAGTGCAAGACCAGACTGAAAGCTGATTACACTGCTTTTAAACATGTCTCTGAGTGTCATGTACAGTCTGCACAGTGACTTTTAAGTGTCATGTGATTATTATTTAGAAACAAGCTAATCTCCGGTGCATGTTAGCTTGATGCTTTCAAAAGGCGTAATATATTTTCATGTTACCAAACCTGACTACAAAGAAAAATTTAATAAAAACTCCAAGTAGAAGCATTCCTGGATATGAATAGGCTGAACATGGTTTCGCACTTTGAAATCCAAATGCTAGCTCATTTAACTTAGGAATTAGAAGACTGGCAGCTAACTAGTCAGACAACAGCAGGGCAGCAACAAATGGAAGGCAACTTTCATTTTACTCCCTAACTAGAAGATTATTTGCAATAGTTCACGGATAAAAGGACAGAAGATGGATACTGAACCTCTGCCTTTGCAGTGCAGTATTAAAATACCCCTGTAGGCTCATAAGCAGAAGTACAGTTACCACATAAGAGCAGGAATGAAGAGGGAGGAAGAAAGATTAGTTGCACCTTTTGGTAAGGAGGAATGGCCAGTGGTTCAGACACTCACCTCTGGTTTGTGACACCTGACTCCAATTCCTTGCCTTGCCTCAGCTAATCTGCGTAGCTCTGGGAGACCCACTGATTGTCTCTGTTCCTTCTCCTGTAAAATGGCAATTCCACTGCATGGTATAAGGTAAGCCTGGTGAGAGACAAAGAGAAGTGCTGAGATGCTATGAGTATAGCCAGATGTGTAGCAGAGAAGATTTAACAGCTGGTTGGCTCAGGATGCAATGGTCCTGCTTCTCCACTTTCCTTCTCCCTCTTCCTTGCCTGTATCCCCATTCCCAACCACACAGCCTCAGCTCCTCTCTCGGGTAACTTCTGATGCTCTGTCTGTACAATAAAGCCAATTCAACATACTAAGCAGCAAAAAGCTATACTTTGGTTTTCTCTGGGGGTTATTTTAGTGCTGCCAAGTTAAGTCAGGGCACTCTACACTTAGATAAGTCCTGGAGACGGTGGAGAGGACTGCCAGGACTATGCAGCCTGAAGAGGCAGGAACAGAGCAGGGGAGAGCAGGGCAGCAGGGTCTCCCCTCTTTAGCATCAGTAATTCACCAGACTGGGAGCTATAGCATGTAACTGCCCTTGACCGATGGGCACCTTAGGTGGCAGGGCACAGGTACAGAGAAAAGCAGCAGCTGTTGATTACAAGAAGTGGTGATCAAGGCCCGATCCAGCACAGACACCAGAGTTCCAAGAGATTGACAAGATGTCACGAACAGTCTAATGGAGCTGGGACTTGATAATACCTTTTTTTAAAAAGAGACTGAAAATATAGCAGCCTAAAACTATAGGCAATGAAGTTTACCGCCAGCTAAGAATACATACGCTCTTTCCCTTAACATAGAAGTTAATATGTCTTGGTTTCAATTGACTGCACAATGCTACCCTGCCAAATTTTATACTGTTATTCAGTTTGCTTGCAAATAATACCATTTTCCTATTCTATATTGCTTTCATAACATGCTTCAAGGACAGCCTGTGCATCTGAGTAAGAGGGCACCAAGTGGCCACCTTCAGCAAGACAAAGCTTTGGGTCTATGCAGCAAAACATAGTAAAGACATTATTTGTTGACTGGATGCCCTTGCTTCCAGTGGGGCCCAACAGAATATCCTGGGGAACATTAAGAATTGTGGTTAGCTTTTGGCTGGTGTTCCTCCAAATTATAACCACTGTGTTATAATAAATGTGTATCAGTTGGGTGATTTGGTGTGCTTGTTCCCCTTCCAGAATGGCAGAGCAACAGCCCATGCTGCTTTTACACCTTACTACTGTGAAAGCTAAGGCTGCCACCATTTGATGCACAGAGGCTTTCTAAATGTGAAGCATTTGGGGGGCACTGAGAATACATTCCCCATCACCACTGGCTGTGTCCATAAGAGGGCAGTGACATACACCTACAATGCATCCACCCCGCCCCGAGTCTTGGGATGAGACCTGGGTAAATACAGTTAAAAGCACGCCCACTTCTGCAAAAAACAGCAAGGACAGGCGTGAGCCTGTTGGCATCACTCCTGCCCACCTTCCACTTGCCAGCCTGAGTGACTAAGCCTTCATTTAAAGCAGGATCCCTCGGGAACCACTGTCAGCACGCATACGGAGAGCAGCCTGTGCTCATGACTCGGGCTCTGCAGCCAGGTGTCCTAATTGCTCTGCTACCAGGCCCTACGGGCTGACACAGATTACATTATTAATGACTGGCTATAGCTGTTGGGAGCTGTGAACCAGGTTTATTAAACAGAGAAATGCACCACCTTGAAGAAGAATGTATACTTCACCTTTCGGAGTACCTTCCCTGCAGTATTTATCCCTAGCTGTGGTGGTGAGTTACATTGCGTGAAGAAGGCAGTCAGATCATAAAACCTGTAAATATTCCTACCCAGTGTGATTAACAGAGGAAGGGAGTTGCAACTGCTCATGTCTGCTATACACATTTTTCCAGATGCTCAGAAAGAATGGTGATTACGTTTTGTTTTCTCATTTTAAAAAGATAAATAAGAATATCGTCTGTCAAGCTTCAAGAATAGATCAACCAGCCTTTCATTCTCAAGAGAATTCCAAAATATCAGTATTCAAAGGGCAGAGAGCACACCTAGCAATATGTGCTGCACAGCTCCCAATACGCTAGAAGTGCAATAAATAAATGATCATAACAATAAAGCTGTCTTGTATGTAAATAACAATTTGCCTTGATGTTTAAATTTAGTATGCATTATTTGCCACTGTACCTCAGTTTTGATTTGCCTATGATAAGGCCAAATCATGAAGTGTTGTTCTGATGATCATAATGGTGCCAGGAATGGGATGTGAAAACTAGGTAAAGACAATTTCGGAGAATGAATGAAATAAAACTATCCTCCTGGGAAATGAAGCCAACTGAAAGTAAGTGTCTCCATGATATTTCAGAGAAGACTTGAGACAATTTATTAGTTGTTTAAAAATTCAAATAGAAAAGATAATGGGCATCACCTAATTTTAGGTACCTCCCAAGCAAGCAATTCTCACGATATCCAGCAGAGAGGGAGAGGTTCCTTTGCTGACTGATCAGGACTCTCTTAACTCAGGTGTATTCAGTTGCCTTGTCCAGGAGTCTCACTCTCTGATACCCACAGAGGAAGCCTAGGCAGCCTGAGGCCACAAGATTCAATGGCTGGGCTGGCAAGGACATCATGAATGCCTATCTTAAGTATCTAATGGTGGGGAAATGTACCTTCCCTCCCCTGTCTGATACTGCATCAATCTGACAGCCTTTTTATCATTCAAACATTATTTGTCAAATAAAAGGTTTTGAAATTAGCTCAGCTGGTTTTCTTTGGGGTTGTTGGTTTTTTTTTGTATTCTAAGACCAGTGTAACTTACAAATACCCAGTGGAGAAAAGAGCCTAGTAATATGAGAGGCAGGATGAAATACATCTTTAAGGGGTAGTTACGTTTTTCCCTGACATAGCAGCCTACAGGACCTTAGGCTTTCACTGCTTCCCATCAGGTGGCTTAAGAAACTTCAGACGCTTTCCAGAGAAAGGAAGACAAAACGTGATATAATTTTTTAAATAATTTCCAGAAATGTGTTTATTTTTCAGAAAGTTTTTGTTTGATTATAGAACTTCTTATAGAAATTACGTTTTCTGCTCACTTCCAATGCTTTGGTTTGGTTGTTTTATGTACCACATTGAAAAAACCTGGTGAAGACAGGAAAGCTAGTTTTATCCTATTGAAGCTGTCTGGTCTGGGGTGCCCTAGGCTTCCTGCTCTACTGGGGCTGAACACACAGCTCTAATCCATGCCTCCCAGCCCATCACAAATGTCACTATCTAAGACCCATGAGCACGTTCCTCTAATCTGTGGAAATACATGGAACCAACTGCATAGTTCAAGCTACAAAACTGGACATTATTCTATCACACAGGGACAGGTAAAGAAACAAAATGTGCTGTCACAAGATAAATGCAGACAAAGGGAAAGAGAAGAAAACTGGAGATGTCAAGGGGGCCAGGGTGAGCAGCACATTGCACAGAGCAATAACAGCACAGAATCCCTCCTTCCCCTCCTGCTTAATAGCTGGGTAAGGGTACTCCTTTAATTTAGATCGATTCACTTTCTGGAGTTCCGTATTCCCCCTCGCTGGTGGGAATACAGAAATCCAGGAAAACAAAACAGATGCTCAGGTAACGGCCTAAGCAGGCAACCAAGTAGAGGCACTAAATGTTGCTGTGCTCTTAAGAGCAGGGACAGATGGCAACACAGGACTTTATATTCCCTTCTGAGCACTACTCAGTTTGGCTGGTTTGCAGTTCACTCCTGTCCAAACCAGCTACCTTTTCTGGAAGTCACCTTTTGCCAGATGTCACCTAAAGCCAGACAGCATTATTCCTGCCTGACTATCCATAACAACATGGTCTGAAAAGACGGGGTTTTTTTGTTTTTTTCAAAGACTGTGCCATTCCTATTCTGCTAATAATTGCTCCAAGAAAGAATATTCAGCAAAATGGATCTTATATAGTATGTAGCCAGCAGAAGCTGCTGTGTAATGTTGTTAAAGAGACAGTATATGCTCCACTGCAGCTAAGACTGTTATGCCTGATCTCAGGTTACTAAAACAAGGGGTTTCTTCACCAGCATCCCCCTTAGCTATTGTTATTGGGAAAAAAAAAAAAAAAAAAGACTAATTTCTATTTTAGGTTTTCAACAAATGCCAACATAGATGTTCTGGCTTTTTAAGCTATTTTCTAGGACATCCTTCCTTCTTTCTCTTCCAGGACACCCTGGTTTTTTTCCATGTCTTTTTGGAGTGGATAACAAATGGATTCCAATACTAGGAATGCCTATTCTTAATTCTGTATTTTCTATATAGTGTCTAAATTAACAAAAAAATAATTCTGTAAGCCTGAAAATCCACACTGGCACCAAACTGAAACTGAAGTAGAAAGCTTCAAAAAAGCTTCTCAAACATTCTTTTAAGCTGGAAGCATGACTGCAATGTTTTTCTTGGCATACCTCATTGCCTTTGAAATACATAGGCCACTATTCTTGATGTGTTCTTGTTTTCCTTATATTTTATTTTAATAAGATGTGCCCCTTGGGAATGCATGGCAAGTCCCTTTTCATAGGGTGGCTCTGTCATCTAACTGTGGCATCTCTCCACTGCCAAGTATGCAATATATATATTTGTTAAGTGTTTACTTAAGTGAGGTTCAGAGATTTTCACAGACCGAAGCAAGTGACACAGACTTTGACACCAAATGTAATATCTAGTGGTAACCCCAGAAAATATTAAAACCAAGTGTTTTGTTGCAGGGCAGCCAAGTAAGGAAGTCTTGGAGCTGTTCAAATAACGTAAAAGCCTTCTTGAAACAGCCTCACTTAATTCAATATTTAATCTCTCCATTACGAGTTGTTCAGAAATATTCCAAGAACCAACATTCTGCTCTAACAGAATTCTGCAAAGACCAGTTTCACAAACTTGGTTGATGAGAGATATGAGAACCTGGAGAGAAGAATGGAAGTGGAAAAACTGATTTATAAAGACGAGTGTATTTGATGAGAAGATTGTAGCAATATGACATAAAATACAACTTTAAAATGCTGTCCCCTAAATTTCCCATTCTTATGACTTTTAAATCAGTACCAGGATTCTTTGAAGGGTTAAATGTTAACCTTACAGTGATTGGGATCTCTGTATTGAAAAGGTCTCATCACTTACAGACATTGAGCAGTCCATGCAATCCACTGGTGAAATACAGCTGTAATAATTACTTCAGGGCTTTCTAAAACTTAAATATGTTCATACTTGCTAAAAGGAGGGAAAAAAAGTAGAGAGCTGTGTTTGGAACAAAGAGTTACATTAGCCCTCACAAATCACTTAAGTTGCAGATACAGCTTAGAGACAATTTTATAATGTCTCAAAAAATTTCAAAACAAAATCAGTCTGTACTGGCAGAAAATTAAGACCTTGTCAGGAAAGCTCCAGAACATTCAATGGATGTGACAGTCACACCATTCATCCAGCTTGCTGGCAGCTCATGTTCAAATCCACTATGAACACTCTTCCATTGTTCCAAGGTACTTGAGGATCTCCTGAACAAATAAAGAAAAAATAAATAATTATTTTGGGAATTATTAATATGTTGGAGTCCACTTCTACTTTCATATAATTCAGTTTCTCTTTCCTTCCCTCTATGCTTGATCCAAACATAGCACAGACTAATGCAAAACTATATTCTCAGTTTCACTTTGAATCAGACCACCATATGTAAACCTAGGGTGTTTTCTTGCATATCAGTCCCAAGTTCAGACTCTCTTGCAATTTAAAAATATTTATTTGAGAATTGTATCTTCGTATGGTATACCTCCCAAGCTTAGTCTTCATTCCTTTTTTTTTTTTCTTCTTCTGCAAATAAACTGAAATTAATAGTTAATATTGCTATTCACAAAGAGAAGAGATTCCATGCTTATAGGATATAGCAGGAAAACAGAAAAAATGCCCTTCTTCTTGCATAAGCCCTACGTATATATGTTAAATTTGATATAGAGAAAGCAAACCTTCCAGGTTCTTGGCAACCTAATTCCATCACTGCTTGCAGATGAAATGAGATGACTAGTGGTGGTAGGAGGGGAGAGAAGAAGAGTGGGTTTTAAATTACACACACTTGGTAATTCATTGCAGAAATCAACCCTAATAGGTACAGCTGCTTCATGGACATGGAGACGTTTCAAATGGCCAGCATTGCCCTTGACAGCAGGTGGTGTTTTGGATAAACAGCATCAGGAAGTAGCAAGCAAAAGGCAAAAGAAACACACTTGGAAAAACTGTGTTGGAATTTGATCAAAATGTTTTCCAGACAGCTCAGCTCCTATGAGACATGCAGATCATTTCAGTTCAAAAGCAATATCCAGCTGGGGAAAAATCCCACAGACAAAAAAACTACACAGCAGTAATACTTGGTCAAAAGGGCTTGTGCTACTCTAATAATCATTTGTGTGTCACGTATCAGCCACTGCTTCAGCTTTAACACCCAAATTTGAAGACTCAGTGTTAGACCTCAGCCTGAAAAAGCTGGAAAGGATGAAAGAAAGGAGGGGAGGAATGTCTTACAGCAACACTGCTTCCAGTGTGGGGTCCCCTTGGGAGCACTCTAACCTGGGTCCCGCCATCCTCCTCACCATTATATGTTACAGAGAATCAGCACTGTAAATGTGCAAGGACGAGACACAGCTGCTGTGAGAACCCCCCCTGAATGGGTGCAGGTCTAAGACCCGTACTTAATCTGCAGTGTTACTTTAAGTGTTGCTTTCTTATTCCTAAGGGATTCAGAAGTTTGTGTGGAAGGTCACCTACAGAGAGCAACAGGATGAGGAAAAATAGACATCGTGCAGGTGCAGTGGGATTATGCATCTCCAAAGAAAGCTCTGCAGAAAACAAAGCTTTCTCAGGCCAGTCTCAGGCTTTTGGATGAGTTCCCACTGGAATTATCCCCAGCACAAAGCTCACTATCTTCTACTCTGAATGTGAGTCACATAAATACATACAGAACCACGTACAGATAATGTAATAAATGTAACTGAAAATAAAAAGAGCACAAAAGTCACCTCTGGAAAGAACGAGAGAGAGAAAACCATATGTAGCAGATGACAATCCCGTCACTTAATGGACTTCTGGAAGACATTCAACCCTGTGATGTGCAGCATATAAGAACCGGAACAAAGCTTACATAACATTGCATTACATTGACATAGTTTTCTAGGTAGAGGCACTGGCTGCAATTCATATAAACATATCCATGGAAAAATAATATCTCATCCACATGTACAAGATTTACCAAATAAGAAGAAGTATCACAGTGCTTGACAATTATCATAACATGCGCTTCATAAAGTGGGGCTATGAAAAACAATATCCAGTGTTTCCTAATTGGAAACAGCTAAAGCGGGTTGATGTGGGTTTTATTCAATCGTCTTCTGCCTTGCAAGGTAACGACATTACTCCATGGATATTACACAACACACTTCTGTGGTGCCCCACACAAGTCTAGGTTTGGTAGCATTCCGTATTTTCATTTTGATGCAACATCAGGACATATTTCACATTGTCCTAATTGTTACCTTGCTCCATGTAAAGCTGTATCAGCAGCATTTAAATCTCAACCTCCCCAACAGAAACTCCAATTAACATTTAAGCTATTAAGACTGTTTTAAAAAAAGTTTTAGTGCGGCTCCCAGCCTGCTAAGCAAAAATTCCAAACATTGAAACTGCATGTTAAACATTACAAAATGGAAAATGGAGGTCACCAGCAGCCTGATCTGTAAACATATTTAAGTCTTTTTGTTCTTGACAAGTAAGAACTAAGCTTTCGTTGAAAACCTAACTATGATAATTGTCTGTAAACTTACATATTTGCACACCGCTTTGGAAAAAGATATAAGTAAGCTCAGTCTTTGCTGGGAATTTAGAAGCATAGCTTCCACTATATTTCAGGGTCTGCACACTTTTAAAAATGAGTTCTGCTTCAGATCCCAGTGAATTCAACATAAACCCAGTGAGCAAGAGTTGAGCATAGCATTCTCCTCTTTTCATCTTTTTTCTGATGTGATGCAACAAAAGACATTAAATGCTTCCAAACAGCTTGATCCAAGTGGATAAAATGAAAGAACTGAAGGAGTTTCTGCTGTTATAATACACTCACCATAAAATCATTTTTATCTCCCCAGCCCTTGATTGCTCCTATTCAGTTCAGATAAATATGCTACCTCTGGCCCTTGCACTACCTCAGCAATCTGATCAGAGAATTCTCTCAAGCTGTGTCTTTACTGTGGGAACCAGCAGTGTTTTGCAAATCTCAGGTGTGTGCATACCTGGCATGTCTTGTCTTGACCACTGGCGTATCAAGACTCAGGGCCACTTGTTGGCCTCCAGCTTGCAAGGAAAGAAAAGTCTACACATTGCTTTCTCATACTTTTTCTTCCACAAACTCTATTTTCTTTAAGAAGAAAACGTAGGCAGGCATAGTGGGAGGGCATTACAATCTGGTCTAGTAGGTGCTCCTATTTAGACCTTTCCAGAAACCTTAAAAGAAATTAAATAGTAAGATTCATCCTTCATAAGGGTGCTTATCCGTGATTTTGCACATCTTTAAAGGAGTAATCATGCTGCAAAACTACAGGCATCAACATAATTAATTTTTTGTCGACATCAACTTTCTGCCACCTCAGCTACATCCAGGACTCCCTCCCACCTACCTGTTTTGTACAAGTGCTCCCTGAGAAATTCTCCACGTTGTCCAGGCTGAGAGCAAAGCTCCCTTAGGATGCAATCGCATGGATGTGCACAGGGCAGTGTGTGCTGTGATACCCACATACACACACCCAGAAATGACCAGAAAAACTATACATACACATGGGAAGGGATCTTTTCTGCCATTTCAAGTGAGAGTATGCTGACCCTATCTCAAAGGCTACTGGGTGTCAACCTAGGCCTATATTAGGCCCAACATCTTGGTCTCATATGAACAATGTCATATACATATAGTCATATATGTAGTCATATGAACAAATTATGGCACCTTACATGGGCATCCTCTTGGACTACCCCAAATAAGAGGCAACATGGCTCACACAAATATCTTTCATGGAGGCTTAAGCTAAGTCACAACACCTTACAACCGCGGTGGGCTAAGTTTGCACACCCGGACAAGTACCAACAGTTTGAAAAGCTCTTCTGAGCTTTACTAGCTCGGGGGGATCTTTTCAAGCCCCTATAAACCAACCATGTGCTGAGACCTTAGTAACTGATCGCAGACAGAAATAACATTCTTATTGAGCCATGCAAGTATCCATTTATAAACTGGACTGTGAGTAGGAAGATCTAAAGGGTTCATGCACAGGTACAAGGATGTTAATTCTGCTAATTTTGGGATAATGTCATTCACTTCAGGGTTAAAATTGCACTTCAGTTTTCACCAAGCTGTAGGGCTCATTTTAAAATTTTAGATTACTGATAAAGAAATAATTCTAAGAACGCATTTAGATATGTATCTCGAGCAGTATTGCTAATTATTACCATCAAAGGCGAAGGGCCCATTCACTTCCTTTGCTAAGTACAGGCACAATGGGGTCTCTGCTCAGACACCAGCTCAGAAAGATATAGTACATTCTCCACGCAGTGTGAAAGACTCTTACTCCCAGCGAGGACCTTGTGCTATAGGTGAAGGCTGCTGTGTATACCTGCCTCAACACACAGCTCTCCAATGCCCTCTGCACCATCTGCACTGTGGACAAAACCCATGAGATCCACACTGCTCTTCCTCCACTGAGTGAAGGCCACTTCCAAAGCCTGAATGCACTACAAACAGCTTTCTATAAGAAAGCCTCTCCCAAACACAAGGAATGGACATGCCTCCCCAAAACCAAGCCTAAGCTTTTCGCAAAGCCACAGAAAATTAATCCATGATAAGCACTGTTCTTGTAAAACATCTCTTCACTATTCAGGGTGGTGGAGGTGAAGAGAAGTTCCCGTGGAAAGCCCATGGGTTTTGTCCAAATTTACTATTCTGCATTCCACAAAAATCAGAACTATTATCACTCAAGTCAAGAATCAACTGTACTTACACTGGGATGAAATACACTGCTGCTTTCATAGAGGAATGTGTTTGCCAAGCCCAACTATCAGCAGCATTGTCTCGGCAGCTTCTCATTCTACACCACTAGCTCAAAACATGTTATCAGCTCTTGTATTTTGGATGTGCGCTAAAAAGCGAGCTGATACTTATCACTGTAATATTTCTACCTACCACACAGTTAGCAAACCCACCTACATAAGTATTCATCCTGCTGTTCCTGCAGTGTAGCAAAGCCCCTACCTACAGCGTACAAGAGTTCTGTCATGTGCTGTAAGTGTAAGCTTTGGTTTACATTAGGGGGAAAAAAGTCATACCTGTACAACCTTGCTGGTTGAATTCATGATTTTGCACAAGTGTGGCTGCAATGACTCAAGTTCCAGTGCAGATACCTATTGTCAGATTTATCTCATTCTAAAGTAGACATTTGAAAGTTATATGTCTAAATCTCATCTGTGTTAAGCG